TTAAAAATATTTATTTTCTTTAACGTATTTTAAAAGCAGAAAAGGCAATTAAATAAGCCCAATTTAATTTTATGATTATGAACTGTGAATATCTCAAAAATTGCGTAGGGATGTGTTAATGTTAAAACATTTCATGTCAATTGTATTTGCAAATATATTTTAAAATAAACTTTCGAATTTCTTTAATATTACAAAAATTAAAAGAAATCCATTTCAGTGTTAATTTTCAATTTGTTTATATAAATTTTTTTTTGTGGAAATTAAATTAAATACTCTACTTTTTCCTTATATGCGATTAACATACGGCTCATATGTTAATGTGTTTTCTTTAAAAATAATTATATTTATATATTTATTGATGTCATTTTCTTGCAAGATTTTTTTTTTTACATTTGTATATTTAACGTTTTTATAACATTTCAATGTATACACAACTGTGTATGTATCTTTGTACCTTTATTAGCTTATTTGCACGTTAATAAAAATGTGATTTTCCGGCAACTTTATAAGTCGTAAATAGATAATTATAAATTTATGATCATTTATTTACAAATGATCACATTTAATTAATATTTATTAAAGTCATGCACATTCTCTTAGTTATTTCTGTACTTTTCTTCTCTCGTCCTTTCCTCATTGCGAATAAGTTTGATAATTGCAAGATGGTAATTATTATTCTCCAAACTATTTATTTATTTTTTAAATAATAAATCTTCAAAATTATTCATAAGGGGAATTTGAGTGGCATTCTAAAATGCACTAGGCTTTAATTTTTGACAGTTGATAATAGTTGTTTATTAATTGAATTTACGTATTTATTGAGTATTTGAAGAGGCTGCAATAACACATTAGAAATTTGTAAGAATCATTTTTAAAATTAATAAATATTATACAAATAAATAATATTAAATTTTATATCAATTTATTTAGTTTATGAAACTGACAATTGCTGTGGAAAATTTTATTGTTTACTTGATCATCAATATTGCAAAATTATTCAAACATTAAAAATAAAATTTAATAAAATTTACATATGGAAAAGAATAATAAATGGTTTTTTTGTTTATTATTTCTAAAAACTTTAAAATTTATTGTTATAGAAAATATATTTTATATATGCAAGGTCAAAAATATTATTTATTAAATCGTATTACCCCTCTATATCAGTGGTTCTCAATCTTATCTTAATCAAGAACCACTATGATAAATTTGTTTTTAGTAGGGAATTTAAAGTTCAACTGTATGAATATTTTATTATGCTTTATGCATCTCTGGTATAATGTGTAATGAATTGCATAACTGAATAGGTATATTAGGCTACATAATAGGTATTAAATAGGTATATAATTACTTGAACATTTTCAAAGAAGTGTGGTCTCAGTGGACAAACTACAAGCTATATATATATATATACATATTAAATTTGATTCACGGACTATTTCTAATCATCTTGCAGACCATCGGTTGGGAATCACTGCTCTTCATAGATTCTAATATTGAAAATAACACATCGTTAACTTTGTAAAATTAACTTTATAAAATTAATAAAAGAAAAAATTTAATTTTTAGTTATAATATATTACTAAATTAATGGTTTAACATATAGAAATAAAAAAATGGAAAAAAGATGATCGATTTTTTCAAAAATATATCGAAATTTTTAATAACAATTTAAAGTTTTGAAATCAATTTTAATTGCATCAAAATAAATAAACTGATAGGTATACAAATAGACAGACGAACAAGATAAGATCGATTGACATAACTCAGTTGATCTGGTACATACACTCTTAGGGGTTTTCCATCTCTCTAATTAGAGCGTGACAAATATTTCAACAAAATACAAATACAATTTTCCATAATATGTTCGTTTAGGGTTTAAAAATATTGATATTAAACTATTGTATTATGAATATAATATAGATAATAATATAATAACTAATTAATTTCTATAAAAGATTGAAGTCGATGATTATAAAAGAGATCTAATACTTATGGATGTACAAGTCAAAATGACTAAGAAAAAACCATAAATTCATTTTTTTACAAAAACTTTCAAAATATATCTTTTACAAGTACAATGTCTAAAACGTCAAGTGACAATGTGTATCTTTTATCTGAACATCATTACATTTTCTTTATGCCTTTTGATTTACTGTACTTTTTTTTTTGTTATAACAAAACAGAAAGGTAATTGTACTCATTGATTTTTATTTCTATTTATTACATAGATATACACCACATTTTCCTTATATGTAATGTAATGTAAAACTCGTACATACCCTCAAATATGTACATTATTCTTTTATCTATCTTTTAAGGCAAAAACTGCTGTGGGAATTAGGTTGATAAGTAGTAAATGATCGTATGTGGTACAGTTTATTGTGTGTGACAACGCTTGAGTGAAAATAGTGAATTTTAAAAAATAATAATAATAGGTTTTATGAAGGATATAAAATTGAATGTTAATTAAGAAAAAAAATTTAATTATAAAAAAAATAAAACATTTTGTATAAAAAAGTGCAAAAAAAATGTATCTCAAAGAAATGATCAATGTAGGTATTGAAAACTAGTTTATTATTATAAGGATAATATGGAGATGTAGTTCTCTTTTATTCTTTAGTACTTTGCTTATGCCGCAGCATAATGCCTACTTAATCTCTTATCGAAAAATAAATAAAATAAACTGTATATTAGACATTTTATTCATTTCTTACAATTTCTATATATGTATCTTATAACTGATATTTGCTGACTTCAAATTGGATATAATCTCTTTTGTTGTTAAGCGATAAAATCGTGCTCGCATCATTTAGACGACATGAAATAAACGCGTGCGCAAATAGCGCCAACTGAAGTTCTTTAAACAAATAAACAAAATTTTTACCAGACAACATTATTAATTCAAAGATACTTACATTTAACGTATTTGCTATAAGATTAATAATTGCTTAGTGTGTTCGTACATAAAAAAGAATTAACATCATTATCAGTCAGAATTATAAAACAGAATACGTCTGTATAAACATAACATAAAAAATAAAAACGTGACTTTAATAGAAGATCATTTTGAAATCTCAATTCGCAAACTCAATACTTTTTTTACTAGTATTTAAGATACTTTTATTTAAATGCTTAATATTGCATATTATTCTTTTATTTAACTTTTATATATCTTTTTGTTTTTAGTACTTCAATGGGGTGACTTGTAGAAATATTTACTCCTGAACCCGGGACCAAAAGGTAAGATAAACTAATTTTTATGATAATAGCTATTCAATCATTTTAAAATCAATATCAATTAATTAAAATATATACAAATTTCAACCACAAATTTAAATTTAACTAAGAACAATAAAATGAGTAATAAAAAACTTGCATGATTTAGTGAAATTCCTCCTTTTGCTTTTTGATAAATAACAGCGATATTTACATAACATTTCTAGTACTTAAATTGGTTGTAAGCACAGCAATTAAAATACTTTTCTTATATACACAAAACAATTAAATAAGTAAAAAAAATTCATATTTAAAATAATTATTCTTACTTGTTAAGTGATTTAGTAACAAAGCAAAAATAGCGCAAAAAAGTAAAAAAGGCAAATTAGTATAATTACTTTTTTTTATGTATTGTTTAGAACGCTAATGGTTACTGCAAGCTACAAAGTATTTCAATAATAAATAAACATTATTGAAATATTCGAAAATTACATATATCTTGTATATGTATATATCAAGCTTGATTAGTTCTGAACTATTTGATGCAATTTATAATAATAACATCAGAAGACTAATACCGAACTATCAATTAAATTGTTAAAATATAAATCAATTGTATTGTTTTTTATAATATTTATTTATTTAATAAAATACCTTTAAGATAAAAAGTCTAAGTTAGCAGCAGAAGCACAAGCAGAAATAAAAATAGAAGTGCGGCGTTAATGTATCCTGAATAATCGTTGTAATAATTAGTAATAGAAGTTTTACTTTTTATAACATAGTTTTAAAAAAGTAATGTTTAAATAAGTGATTGTATTAAAAATTATGTTGATGGAGGTGTTCAATAGAAGAGGGGTGTTTTAACAAAAACTTATTAGATTATTAGGAACAGCAATATATAGACTATTTGTGCACCAGCTATTTTTTTAGAAAATAATTTTTTGGTTCAATATAAAAAAAGTAATATCAGTGATATATTGGATATGGACCATTCAGGATGGACCATTGCTTCCTCTACAATACGCTTCCATTCTTCTCTGCATTTCGCTTTCTTTCTGTGTTGTGTTATTCTCATAGTTCGTATGTTGTGTTCTATATATTGTAACCATCTTCGTTGCGGTCGTCCTCTTTTTATACTCCCCTCTGGTTTTGTCTCGAAAATTTTCTTAGTCATTCTTTCGTTACTCATTCGTAGGACGTGTCCATACCAGCGCAATCTTTAGACTTTTATGTGTCGTGTTACAGTTCTGCCTCCGTTCAAGACATTCAACTCGTCGTTATACCGTATACGATATGTGCCGTCTTCTAAGCACACCGGGCCAAATATTTTCCTGAGTATTTTTCTTTCGAATCTCAGTAGCAGGTTGTTGTAGCTGGATTTAAGGACCCATGTTTCGCAGGCGTAGGTAAGAACCGATCTAATGATAGTTTTATATATGCGCAACTTTTGTTCCTTTGATAGTAACGTTGATAACGTTCATAAGCTTAATATGGGCAAAATATGCTCTGTTAGCTGTTTGAATACGAATTGTATTGCAATAGTCGCATCTTTACTTGTGCTGAGAACTACATCTAGATATTTAAACTCGTTTATAGACTCTATATTATAAAACGATTCCTGGTCCAACATAAAAAAAAGTATGGGCGAATTAGCCAAATTCATTATAATATTAGTCGAGATATGCGGTGCACAGAAAAAACCACAAAAAAAAATGCTTTCGACTACAAAATCTTATAATTAAAACCAAAACCAATTAAACAAATTATTAGTAAAAATATAGTTAGTAGATTGTATTGTAATTTTAGTTAAATAGATATACATATTTTATCTTAAAGGAAGACAATCTATTGCTTGTTTCTGTTCTATGAAAAAACTAAAATTTAAAGTGATTTTAACAAGAAGTCTGAGAAGATAATAGTTAACTTATTTTAATAATACTAATTAATTCATTAATTAATCAGCTAATTGGTAAATAGTTAATAATAGATTTTATAGCTATGATTAGACATTTGTATAATAGTATATTTGAGTGGGCATAGTCAGGAACTTATGCAATGAGTCTAAAAAATTAAAACCTATAAAATAATTTTATATAATCAAATTAACTTGTTTGTAAAACAAAACAATAAGTTCTTCACAAAGAAATGTGTTCAACTCCGCTATTCCTATATTACTTACTTTAAAATAAGATCCTTACATTAATTTTATTTTTCAATAAGTCTTATTTCAGTGATTTAGAGGAGCTAGGGTTAATGACTCATAGTTCTTTCGTGGCTTCGCCTGCTATGGCATGAATAATATTATCACTTATTCAGTAATTAATTTTATCTTCATTTCATCAGAATACATTATGTATAATAAATTTATTTTAAAAAGTTTTAAAAACTAATGTTTACATGTAATTGCAATTTTGTTTGTGAATAGCTGTGTCTATTCTATGTATCTTCGAAAGAAACAGTGCCTCAGGAACTGTCAGTTTTAATTTACAGATTTTTGTAACAAAATTCGTATATATATACTTTCAATTGAAATCTTTTTTTATTTATTGCGTATATATTTTATTTATAATTTTAAATTTTATTTCAGAATTACCGCATTAAAATTGTGGGTAATGATTTTAAAATTCTTTAGAGAATAACAAATCAAATATTGTTTATATATTCATTTTTGTTTTGTTCAACACACGTGAAAATCTCCACACTACTTGAATTGATTTTAAATGAATTAAAACAAAAAACAAAATGATTTTGTGGTATAGTATTAAAAATTATTTTAAAAATATATATATTATTTTTTTTTTGTTTGGCGCTCCTTAATCTTTATTTTGCAAATAATTTAATACGATTTTATATTAAAAGGAAGTAATTTAAAATTTTTCATTAACATAAAAACGTCATAAAAATCGTTTTCGAAACAGCTGCCATTGTTCGAAAATAATTTATATTCAATATTTAAAATTTTGATATCATTCATATTAATATTTATGTATATATGTAGTATATATATTATTG